ACCGGCGCGCGTTCATTCAGTCTTTTTCTCTAAAGCAGTTTTTCTCTACGGTGACTACATTTTCTTAGGGAAACTGAGAGATAGATTTTAGGACTTTATTCTTAAATATTTTCAAAAAAAAACTAGTTTATGACTCTCTTTCAGAGGCCTACTTACTGATTTCTGAAATTTTCTTGCGCAGTATGAGATAATTCTCTAGAAAAGCACAAGTCATCATAACATCAAAATGACGTCAGAGTAGCTGTAAATTTGATTATTAAAAGACACTTCTCAATCAATCGCGACTCATTTTGATGTTATTGTAACCTTATTGTTCTGTTTGCGGGCTAATATAGTATAAAATATTGTCCTTGCTTCGTCGATTGTTTCAGTAAAAATTCGCTCATTGATACATCATACATTGGAATACTAATTAGAAAGAAATTATCCGTAATATTCGTAAAATAAAGGACAAGATTAAATTTTGAGAGAAAAAAAAAGAATAAATCTAAAGAATAGAGCTATCTGAAATAAAGAACTTTACAATAAAGGATGTGAAGTGATCGTGGCAAATGAAAATCGTAATAATATCCTGATATTCCGTTTCCGAGCAAACTCCCTCTTTTCGTGATAAAACTTGACTTGCGTTGAAATATGGAATGTCGATGATGATTATTTATCGCGAGCAATCGTGATTTATCGTCGATCGTACGAAAAGCCGATCGTAGATTCGTCGGGAAATCTGTTATCGGCTATTGCGGTTAGAGAAGCCGGCGTACACACTATGATGAAACCTTTCCCTCTTTCTCTCTCCCATCCTCCTTTCGCTCTCCTCTCTCGTCTCCGCTCTTGTCTGACCGCCACACGAGTCGCCGCGGCGACCAGCGGGAGTGGCTCTCTCGCATTCCGGTGCCTCCTTCGCCGTATACCGATCGCGCCGGCAGCGTTTGCGACCGAGAGCACCGTGCGGCGAGAGCACACCGATTTCCGGATCGGAGGAGCTCGACGAGATACCGCTTTTGAAGATCCGCCGGCGAGATCCCTAATTCGATGCAGCTTTTGCGGTATCTCGGCGAAGACGCATCGCGCGAGTGCGCCGCGCCGCTCCGCGCCGCGGCGCATTATGATGCGTGACGTCGATCCAGCCTCTCAATGTCACGACATTCAGCTCGGCGACGGACGATCGCCGCGTTGCGATGTCGCGTGAAGAGATAAATTCGTGTACCGCAAACTTGGAAGTTTTGGTGGACGTGTCACCGGCGTGAAAAGGAAAAGTTATGTGAAAGTTTCAGACAGAGTTTTAAAGCGAGTTCGACTGGACTCGCGGCACTGGTGCATATTAAAATCCTTGTAAATTGGGTTTAATCTCGGTGTAAAAATGAAATGCAAATATTTATAAAATACATGTTTTCACCTAACGCAGCGCAATAAAGTGCATTGAGGACTTTGTGGCTTAATCCCTTTTTATATATATTTATGTTAAACACACATTTTTTTATGTCAATTTGTACGATGGTTTCAATTTTTAGAGAGCGGAGTCTATTTTTCATCTTACGACTTTCTTGAGTAAAATTTGTCGTAATTCATTATTTCGTTGTATTCTTTGCCTCAAAATATAACACTGTTCCATCATAGTGACTTTCTCATCTTGTGAGAGAATCGTTAATCTTTAGAGAACGAAAGTTTATTTTTAAAATCTTATTTTTATTAAAGTATATAAAATTTGTTACAATTCATTATATTCTTTGCTTTAAAACGTAATACAATGCCATACTACGGTAGTAGTTTCCCTGAACTAAAGATTAATGTGCACCAAGGCGCCTTATTGTGTGGAGACCCTACAATGTGTCCACTCGAATTCGCCATTACAGTCTTAGAAACGATCGAGGATAATAGACAGAGCGTTTTAGGGTCACTTCACTCTATTCACAAATCTAATCGAGACCTGCGTGTGTAGGGCACTTAACGGAAAAAAGGAAAGATACGTCGATATCTTCTCAGTCGTTTTCTCTTTCTTTGTTTTCCTCTTTTGTGACACTCTTCCCAAGCCAAAGCTCATAATTCACGAATCCGTTCACCTTGGAAGCCGAGCGAGCGGGCGCGGTGGCGCCGCCGGCCGAATCTTCCGCGTGGCTATATATTTTTGCAAACTCGGCGGTGACACTATCTCACAGATTCGCGCGGCACTTAACAGCTTACGGTGACACGCGTAATTCGCGGAATTATATTTACGTTCCCTTTGTGGAGTGACGCGCGTGCCAAAATCGCGCAGCGAGCTCACCCGTCCGGCCATACTTTGTAAATAAATTGTATTTACCCGGACGCGCAACGGCGTTGTATATTGGACGTCGACCGACGACAGCGAGTATAATAAACCAGGTTCGCGTATGTCAATTTGTTCCTTATCGGTCGGATAAATATTTGCACCGATAATCGCTCGTGTGCTCTGATTGTTTGCCACGTTGCATGCATGGCGTTGTTGCCGCGAGTCTGAAAAAAAAATCGTAAAAACTTGGAAAATCTGAAACACACTCGGTGATTTATGTTCAACGAGCTCGTGGAGGTTATTATATCTGGAACCATTTCCTCTCTGTTAAAAGCTTCATAATTATAAATATAATTCATGAGATTTTTCTCGCCAGTTGGACGAGAAATTTCTTTGCTGATATATTTTATTGATCAGAATTAAGAGTACGTTATAATATATAATTAAATATTCTATCATTAAGATTATTTTTTGTTGAGCGAAAAAAATTTTATCAGGAAACGCCAAGTGAGTTTTGGTTTCTATTTATGTAACAGCCCTCGCGTGGGAAACAGGACAAGGATTTGGTGAAAGAGAGAGAGAGAGAGAGAGAGAGAGAGAGAGGAGGAGAGAAGGAGGAGAGAATTCTCCTGCGAAATTCGCCCGACGCGACGCGGCAACGATGGGGGCGAGGCCAGCGGATTTTTAAATAATTGCGTCCTAAAAATAGACGGCTCTCTTCTATCTTCACGATATCCTTGAAGTCCCATTCCTTGCTTTTGCCCTCGCCGCTTTCTCTAATGTTTTAGGGTGCGATGTGGCAGGAAATGCTTCTCCTGTAGAAACGAGATTTTGGAATTCCAATGGAATGCGACCTCTCGTCCAACTTGTCGGTCTGACGTCATCCTCTCCTTTAGTGAATGGACCTGGCCTTCTATGGTCTATCCCTAAAACTATTAGCATATTTGTCGAGTCTAAAGTCTTTTATAATGTATAAACCATACTTGTAGCTTGAAAAAAATATTTTATTTTTAATTGTCAATTGCCTTTATCTTGTTAAATCTATTTCGTTAAATAAAGTTAAAAATATACAACGATTAAATTAGATGTATCATTAGTATAATTCTGTCGAAATAAAGTAGATTTGTATAAGAGCTCAGTAAAATGATTTTCAAAATACAATCATAGATTTTAGGAGACCGATAAATCACTACGAGATGTAAAAAACGAGTTTTAAAAGACATTAAAATCGAACGTAGGCCGTTTTACGAGAACAGATTAGCATTGTTTCATCGCAAATATAGTTGGCCATTCTGTTTGTTATACGAGACTTTTGTCACGGTGCGCGCAAATAAATTAACCGTCTCGAGCGAATAATTATTTTGGACGATTCTGTCACCTCCTTTGTACCGCCACGTGAGAGAGAAAGAAGGACAGAGAGAAAGAGAGAGAGAGAGAGAGAGATTTCTGTGAGGATTATGAATCACGCGTCTGGCGATTATACCACCTTGGCCGTTTCTGTCTCTTCTGGCCCGCGGAAATTGTCGCTCTTAATTGTCCTCGTTCTCCGATCGATCGTGCGGATTCTTGCAAACGATTAACGCCATTGATCGCCAATGTCGGGCTTTAACATCCAGCCGCTAAAGGTTGTATCGAATGACACACACGGTGCAGTTTATCTTTCTTCGGCGGTAAATAAGAAAGGAGATTTATTTTGCTATCGGATTTACATCTCCGCGTGCGTTCGCCGCGCTGCATAGAACGCGCGGTGGTGACGAATCGTTTTACCGTTTGGCACGATGCAGCTCGGCAGGCGAACGCATCTCTCGCGCGCGCACCTGCGTCGAGAGAGAATCGAGTTTATTCCGTCTGCTGAAGCGGAGAAATCCGAGACTAGGTATTACGTCGATTAACCGCGCGCGGGATGAGGCGCGGACGTACGGTCATATGAAATTACGTGGAACCTCGCTGCCGGTGTTTACCGACAATAAGCCTTTTATGCAACGCACGCGTCGTGAAATTCTTCACCCGTCTCGGAAAATTCTCGCCGTTCGATCCTCACGCGATAACAAACGCCGCTGTTCAATAACGACGCTTTTACGTTCGCAGAAAAGACGGTTTTGTTGAAGTATCTAAAGATTTTGCTAGACGCAGATTTCAAAATAATTTCAATGGACTGTTGAAATATCTAATTATATAGGACGTTCAGACTGGTTTGCTGAAATGTCAAAATTTTTTGCGACGCATTGCTCGAAATTTATTTGAATAATGCCAACTAAATATTTATTAAATACATATAAAGATATATTTATTTGGTACAAAAAACTGAGTCAATTTGATTTAATAATAATTTCTTTTTATTAAGTAAATACTTATTTGATGTAAGTAAATGTTGGCAGTATTTAAATAAATATTTAATTGTACGTAACTACTTTGATAGTCCGACATAATTATTTTCAGATCCGTGTATCTAGTTGCGTGTATAAATTTTTAAATATTTCAACAAAATTGTTCTTTCTTTTTATTGTAAAATCGCACTAACGTCATGTAACTCAATCAGCGATACACACATTTTTTTATAATATTCGCTTTTTTCCTTTTCTCTGCTCGAGTACAACGATGATTATGTTTCTCTCTATCTTTATTCTATAAAGCGAAACATGTGCGAGAGCGAAAAAAAGAGTGAGTGAGTGAAAAGGGGGAAAGGAATTAAGAGAGGAAGAAATAGTCTCGGTGAAGAAAGCAGCTTCTCAAGGGGTTGCCCGTTTATTTTCAGATCGTGCGCCTAGCGAAGGGGATCAACGTCGGTGCAGAAACAGCACGCCCCTGCCACTTCCCGGCTCGCTTACCACCAACGGAGAAGGTAACTATGTCTTCAAGGTTATAGTACCCCATATGTTCACCGACCCCAAGACGAGAGATGTATGGGGTGTCCCCCGTTGAATCGTTTTAACGATACGGGATTGTTGAAATTTCGAGAAAGTAAGATGATCCGTTTCTCGTCCTGTCATATCCAATTTTTTTTCTCGTTTATCTTCGAATAATCGTTCGGTCTATCGGTTCCCGAGATATCTCCGACTACGCCACTGATCGATGACTACACCCTTCATCCACGTGGTTAACCTTGATCGGCGCCACGATCGGTATTCTTTTCCCCCGTGTGTACATTTCTTCTCTGTACCTGAAAAAAATAAAAGCGGGCTTAATTTTAGGCAAGTTTTATTCTCCTTCGAATTGCAGCTAGTTGCGAGAGGTAATCGCGATTTAAATTAATTTTACATTTTCTAACACATACGAGTTTCACATACGCGCTAAAATTTTAATAAATTAAATCTCTCTTTTTTTATATATTATATAATAGAATACTTTTCTAAAAAAAGAAGTCACTCGTATTTTATATTCTCTAAATTCTTTGGAGTGGAATTTCACTCTAAAGAGCGAAAATTGAGCCAGTTTTAAAAACAGGGTGGCTCAATTTTCTTTAAGAGTGAGATTTCACTCTTCGGAGTGAAATTCACTCGGGAAGTTTTTTAGAGAATATGTATAAAAATTAGCATTCTTATTTAAAGTACAATATGCCGGTATAAAGGATATCAGTTCCCAAGATTTTCTCGAAAGAGCAAGATAACGTTTTACAGTGTCGACCGGCGTCGTCGAAGAAATTTCCTCAGCACGCACGTTCCTCCGGGCTGACGCGCACGTAGCTTTTCACGCATGACGCACCGCACGGATCGTGGACTCGTCGTTTTTCGGACCGCTCTCGGGCCGCTCTCGCGTTGCTGCTTCGTGGAACGCCTGAAACGCTTTTGGCCCCAGCCAGAAGCAGGAAAGTGAACGCGCTCTGCTCTCTCGTCGTCGACTCGTATACGACGATTACTCTCGTTTCTCCGCAACATCGTTCAATAATTTTCTGTCGTCGCGCCATCGGACTGAGTATACAAATTTTTTTCGAAATGTAGATGAAAGTGTGAATGATATTGGCGATAAGGAAATAATTTGCAGGAATACATGAAAAAAAAAAAATATATATATATATATACAAGAAAACTGGTTTAATGATTAACTATATACGTATTTATATATGTATTTATTTATTTATTTAGAATTATTAAATTTTTTTATTTTAAAAGAATATTTCTATTACTGGCAGATTTAGGTTACGTTCTGTGAGATGTAATTTGATCTGTAGAAGGATTGTCTTTATATAAGTGAATGACGACTTTGTTTATTCTCTTGATTAATCGCAAATTCCCATGCCGATGAAGAAAAACGAATTAATTATAATATTCGCGATGACAACACGTTACGGCGAGTTTTTCCTCTCTTCTGTCCAAGTCTTTTTACGTACTTTTACTGCCTTCGCCAATGCAAACGCTGCTGCTCTAACGACGTCAAACATTCCCAAGCCGACAGCAAATTGCGTCTGTGTCCGGCGCATCTTGCAATTTTACAAGAGTGAGTAAAGAAACGATGCGTATGTTCACGCATTTAATCAGAGTAATCGCGTAGAACGCAATTTATTCCAGTAATTCCAGATTAAGAGAACATCATTTATATATTACTACAATAGCGTGAACTTCTGAAACAAATCCTTTTGGATTCTTTAATTACTTTAAATTACATTTCTCAAGTTACTTTACTTTTTCTCCTTTAAATCTTTTTTTTTTTAATCTCTGATATTTATTTATAGTATTTTAATTTTTGACACGAGAGACAAAGAAATAAAAGTGTTGAAATTATAAATAAAACATCACTAAAATTATAGAGCCGTTAAATAAAAAAAATATGCTGATATTTCTCGCGGACGGATTTGAAATTTCTGCAATTTTATAGTAGAGTATTAAAAAGATGCACGTTTGGCCTGTCGTCGCAGCAGGCAATTTACCGGAAACGAGAATCATCCTGACGGGATTGCACTTTCGTCGGCTTAGCAAATGTCGCGTATATTCGCGGGATGTTGAGCGCGGCAATATAATACGCGAAGTGTAGAGCACTGAGAGGGATGACACGGAATCATAAACACGCGCACAGTTGCCTTTTTATTTCAGTCAGTTATAGATAGAACGCGCTGCTTCCGGGAGAGAACAGAAATATCAGGATTCGATCGAGCCGTTTTCCAACTGACGCCGCGACTATCGAATCTTTTCAGAGAGCTCTTTTAACACGGGATCGCGAGGCTTCATTTATTTCTCTTCATATAATTCAACGATAAGTCAAGACAAAATATTGTGAAATATTTTCTAAAATATATTACAACTTAATTGTAATCTTTAAATACAATTAAATTATATAATGTTTGTAATAAAAAAGCTTTTGAAATTAGTAATATATAAAAATATATATTCAGTCGGGGGAAGACTTGGACGTTTACCTTATAAAAATAATGAAGATATTTTTCCCCATTATGCGACGCAATTCGACAAGGTTTTAATAATTCATTTATCAAACAACAATAACTATCCCGTCGATTTAAAATTCTACTTCGTGGAATACGGGCGATGGATCCATCGTCGATCCATCAAACGGTGCCGTACGTCGTCGGGCAGCGCAGGCTGGCTGCTGCATCTGCCTGAGTCAGGACGAGGGAAAGAAGAAGGCCGTGTAGGAACGCGGGTAGGAAGGAAAGAGAAGGGAAAAGCCGGCTCCCGGGATGTGCAGGCAGGTTTGAGAATGGCACGATAGGTCGGTCGGCTAAGGTGGGTGGCATTCGGCGCGACTGTTTGAGGGAACAGGGGGACCCCTGGCGCCAGACAGCTGCCGCGTGTCTCGACCTCGCTCGCGCTAGCTCGTTCGCCTGCTTCGGCCTCTCTCTCTCTCTCTCTCTCTCTCTTTCTCTTTTCTCTCCTCAACCGTCGCGCCGTACCCGTGGCTCGCCTCTCGCATCGTCTCGCCTCGCTTCTCGTATCCACGTACATGTTACGATCTATACGTTGTATGCACGTGTATGCGCCTACGTGCCCGACTTGGTCCGCTATTTTATTGATTTATTTTGGCGCTAGGCTCGCTCCTTTTCTCTGTGCTGCTCGCTTTGGACGTCCGTCGTCGTGCTGCCTTCGGCCGACGATCGATCGAAATGCGTCGGTCTCGCTTCTCGGGAATTTCGAGCACAGAGTCCCACTGACGAGGAAGACGCTTATAGTTACCGAGCTTAGTGTTTCCAAGATTCTCGTTAATTGATTCTAGAAATGCACTTAAACTCCACGAATGCGCTTCGTAATTCTTAAAAACTGAGCGGAAATTCTACATGAGATTTATAAAAAAATTTACACACAATATATTTGCTTTTATTTATAGGTATTGCGATTTGATTCTTACATTAGCTTCGATGACTGGTTTCATAATGAGTTAAATTTGGAATATTCTAATTCATAAAACTATTATTTATTCAAGAATTTCATGATTCATTGCCATTAATGTACATTTTATCGCGTATGATATAATCGCATGAGATTTATGTTCTCTTCTCTCTTTCATTACGTCTCTTACATTCTTATTACATCTATTGTATTACTTGTCATCGCATTTTCATCACGCTATTCATATTCAACTATTCCATTGTCACTTGTAAAAATTGTCAACGCCGAGCAAGAACGCGACTACCGCATAGTCAATTATCTCTCGCCTTCCCGATTCACGCAAGCATGAAGCTCTCGGTTTTCCACGACAGTAAATTGTCCTCCTACGTATGTATATGCGGGGTGGTTCGACCCTCGATAATTCGCGAATCTTTTACAGTCGTATAAGTTCGGGGATTGCAACATGTTGCGTGTGGGTGTTGTCCCGCGTCGCAGCGGAGGACAGGCCACACGTGGATATATCCCGGCGCGTAAGCACGGTGAAAGCAACAGGTTGCTCGTGTCCGTTCGTCTCCTCCGCTGTGACGTCGCGTCGGTCCGGAGCACCCTTCTCCGCATCCCTCCTGAATGGGGGCGAATATTGGCTCTGGCGCCATCCCTTGGTGCGATAACCGAGGTAAACAGACGGGACCGTTTCCATTCATCGGATCCCGGAACAACTTTTCTGAATTGGAACCCGGGGTCGTCGCTCTCTTTACTCTCAACGGGAACAAAAGCTTGAATATACAGCGTCTGGTAACTTTCTGTCCCTGTATCGAATCAATTGGTGCAAGGTTTCCTCTGGCGGAATCCCCGGAGAAGCTAAACGTGCCTTTTAAAGTAATGTCCTTTTTAAAATTTTTTGGCAATTAAGGCTTAAATTATTATTAATTAACATTTTGTGTGTGTGTGTGTGCGTTTCTAGGTCTAAGCTATTTTTTAACTGTACGAGTTAATTAATATGGAACACTTTTTATTTTTACACGTATATCAAATATAACTTTAATTTTTATGGATATATTAATTATGTTATATTATCGTTGCGCAACTATTTTAGTATAATGATTCTCTTATTCATTATGCGTTATTCGTTATGCAAAAGTCTGTGTCCCGGTCCTTAATGAATACAGATTAGATGAGCTACAATAAATCACGGACTTTCGTTTTGATTTCAAATAGTTGCACCTCGTACGTCACGTACGAGGTATGTTTACGTTGCTTGCACTTGTTGCACTCAGACTCTTCGCTTTCTCCCTCTTCAACGTCCCCATTTTCGTCTTAAAATATGTTACAAAAAGTCTGTGTTTTTAAAATATTTATCGTTCTGTGAGATACTCTGTATATTTATCTCATTTTAAGTGCAAAGTGTTTTTGGGATTTTAAGCAACGCGAATACGCGGATAATTCATGTGAGAGAATCAAGGTCGCTACGTCTGGCGGAGAAGCCGGATCGAAGTTTTTAAAGAGGAGAGATTTGTCCCGGACGTTGGGAGAGGAGAAACGGATGCGAGCAGCTTCTTAACACCATCTTTCCTGCCATCCTGTAATATAACTTGTGTGAAATTAATTTTTGCATAAAACAAACGGGCCAAATATGGGGGGGCAGGG